AGATTTAATCCTTCGAACACGAAGTAGTAAATTGATATCTTTTTTTATTCTTTTGAATTCCTGTCAAAACATAAAATGCTTTAATGTAAATGAATTAGTGAGTATAAATTTGTTTCAAGAGAAGCTATCTCAAGTGAGATAAAGAAACTTTAAGGGAAAATATTTCGACTAAGATGAAAAAAAATTGTTTCGAGGAATAATATCTCAAGTGAGACGAAATCTGTTTCAAGAGAAACTATCTCGAGTGAGATGAAGTTTTTGTTTCAATCAAAACAATCTCGATTTGTTTTGTTTCAAGGGAAAATTCGTCAAGCAATATAAGATTTTAGTTTCAAAGGAAACTGTCTCGAGTGAGAAGAAATTCAGTGTTTTGAGGGAAACCATCTCAAGGGAGACAAATTGATGTTTCAAGGGAAACAATCTCAAGAAAAGAGAAAATGATCTTTGTGAAAGGAAACATTTTTTTTTGGAAAATTTTAATGACATCCTCAAAAGAAGAAAATTGATATTAAGAAAGAAAATTTTGAAAATGTTCACATGAGAGGATTTCTTTAAAGATACATATAATGGTGAATGCTTGATGCAAAGATGCATGTTTAAGTAAAATGTGTCAATGATGCAAATGCATTCTTCCATAAATGATAATGATGCAAAGATTTAAAATCATGTATGTGCATGTCAATGATATCGATACATATTTTCATGATAATGATACAAAGATGCAAAATCATGTATGTGTATGCCAATGATGGTCTTGATGCCTCTTCTATTTCTAAGCTCAATTGCTCTGATGGAGTTGTTTCTTCATGACTCTACTGCCAATTAATGCATGAGTGATTTCTTTTCATGATAAGCTCTTCTTGTCTTCATCTTCTGCCTCTGACAATCCAAGTGAAAAAGATCATTCCTGTTGCAATAGATCTTATTGTCTTCCATATTTACTTGATTTGAATCTTGTTTTCTCAACATGATCTAAGTCTTAGTAATGCCCAATATGGGTATTCTTTTTATGGCTCATCGAGTGTCAAAATTTTTAACTTCGAATGACCTCATCCTCTTTCTATTTATCAGACAACCCCATGTTCTCAACTTGGGTCAACAAAAGTGCCATCAAATGTCTTCTTTTCATATTCTTTAATTTGATGGTTTAACGATAAAAGTTTATTCATAAATCATTTTTCTTGCTCTAGCTTTCACTTCTTGCCATACTTCTTATTTTTGGGCATTTGATGCAAAATAATCCTCATCAGCTTCAAGGACATCTTATACTCTCGAGAGATTATCAAGTTTGTTTGCCTCAAATGATAACATCTTCAAAAATAGACTTTTGAGGCAAATTGAAATGTCAACATTTTCGTTGTCCTTCATGTAATTTCAGCTCATAGACATCTTCATTTGTCATGCTTTACCATACACTCTTCAATAATGAACACGAGTGTCAAGGTTATGGCCTACTTTGGATTCCTTGCACTTAAAAGATTAGTTCAAAGTAAAACCAAGAAATCTTTTGTTTTATATTTAACTATGTTATTTTACTTATAAGATGCTTGTAAACGAACAAAATCGAGGCTCGAAGTGAGAAAATAATAATTTATAGATGAAAATTTTAGAATTTTTACAAAGTCATGGAAATCATAGAGAGAATAAAAATCAAGAAATAAAATCAAATGTTTCATACATTACTATCATGAATGTTTTTGAACCAATCAAATTGATATAATTTGGAGCACTGAAGTAAGCTTCCGTCTAGAAGATCTCAAATGTTGCCAAAATGTCTTTAGATGTGAAGTTCCTCTTAAATATCATGCTCTCTAAACTAATCAACTAGATATAGTCCTAAAGCATAGAGACAAGCTTTTGCCTAAAAGACTTCAAATGTTGCGAGAATGTTTGTAGATGTGAAGTTCATCCCAAAGTATATGTAACACTACAATTTAGGGGCTAAATTTTTAGAAATTATAAAGTGGTGAATTTAATTGGTATTTTGGAAGAAATTGAGGATAAAATTGTAAAATTTCAAAGTTGGAAGACCATTTTAAGAAGTGCAGGAAATTCAGTGGCTAAACTCATAGTTTAACCATTTTTATTTTGGAGACAATTATAAGTCTCTCTCCCCGTCAGTTTTCCAGAGACATTTTTTCAGTTTTCCCTTCCCTTCAACCCTCCTTTCAACTCCGATCTACTCGCCGTCCGACCTCCGATCGACGAACCGAAACCACCACGTGTTCGTTGTCGACCGAGGAACAAAACCCCTCAAACCTTTTGTCGTGAATCGTTGTCGTTCGTCGTTAATTTCAATCGGAAGTATCGTCGGTAATAACTCGATTTCAATTGGTTTTTCGTCGATTCACGACGATCCGACCATCCGTTTTCGACACCTTCCGCACCATCGTGTTCTTTGCATCGTTCCGAGTCCGCCGGTGTTTTCCTTTTCTCCGTCGTCGCCGGCGAGTGGAGGGGTGAGAAAGTCAAAGTTTTCGATGTTTCGGAATCGAGCTCTCCACCGTTCAAAATTGTGAACCGAGCTTGGTAAGTGTCTCGAAATGCCTTAAAATAATTTTTAGGAATTTTTCCGGGAATTTTCCGACACCGTATCACTGTTTATGCGCCGCACGCGCCGCCACTGTGCTTAGGGTGCTAATTTGGAATTAATTTCTGTTTGGGTGCTATTTGTGTAAAATTCGGGTGTTAGTTTTGTAACAAATGGAAGAAGGTGGCTAATTTTATAATTTATTTCTGTTAGGGTGATATTTGTGTAAAATGGTCGACTGTTGACCATTGACCGTTGACCGACGTTGACCACAGTTAACCAGAACTTTGACCGGTGTTGACTGGGCATTAAACGACCTTTGACTTCAACCGAGTATACATATCCTGATGTTTTTCGATGTTCCAAGTCCGATTCCGCAGTCCGTTTTTCGAAATTCAAACCCGAAGGTCTCGAAATTGGCAGTCAAACCCGTTGACTTTGACTTTGACTGAAAATTTAAAATTTTCGAAAAGTCATATTTTATGCTTTCGACATCCTGAATCCGAATCCGAAGTCCGTTTTGCCAAATTCGAACCCGAAATATTGGAAGTTGAATTAAAGATCTGATTATGTATCGTTGAACTTTTTTTTTCCAAGAATATTTTTTAATATGTTAGATTGATGTATTTGTGGATTATTACTTTAGTTTTAATATGTTGGTTTGGTGTATTTATGGATTTTTACTTTGAAGTTTAGAATTTGAAATTGTTTCATACACTCTTTTGATAATATTTTGGTTAAATTTATTAATTTATGTTTATATTAAGCTCTATATAATATTAGTAGACTTTACCTATAGTTTAAAAAACAAGGTAAAATTTCTAGTGAGTTTAACGAGCAACTAGCTTAACAAGCTTAACAAGCAAAGAGCTAAACGTGCAACCAGTTGAGTTTAGCAACAAGTTGTTTTTAACGAGCACGAGTCGAGTAAAATTTTAACGAGCAATGATTCGAGTCTAGCAATAATTTTTTTAACGACCACAAATCGAACACCGTTCAACTCGTGATCGACTCACTCGATAAGCATCCTTAGGAATGAAAATAATTTTGGCATATATATATTATTATATATATACATGTATACATATTTAATTATTTTATATGTGACACTAAAAAGATGATGTCGTGATTGTGAAGACATCTTTGTTGAAGAGGGTGATATCCTGTCCCATATTAATAAAAAAAAGTAGACGAGGATAACGATGTATATTTAATTTGTAACATTTAATGATATTTATTTAATAAATTTAATTTTAACGAGTTTTGAATCTTAATTACTATGAAATGACAAAAGTCAAGGATGAGCAAAATTAATTTTTTTAAAAAAAATTACGATGAAAATTATGGGAGAAAATTTTTGAAGCTCAAACTCTTTCAAAACATTAAATATGTTTATAACCATTAAAGAAGAATTAAAGAAGTGGTGAACTCATTTTAAAACTTATGATCCATATACCATGAATCTTATTTCTAAATTTCGGATCATAGGAGAGTGGTGAAAGATAGAGCCTTTATCTATGCTAGCAAGAATGTAGAGAAAAAAGAAAAAGAAAATATGGATTATGAAGGAACCTCCATAAATTCGACCCATGGAACCTCCATACCATATTTAATCTATTCAATTGAACTTTGGGTCAATGCTCGAATATTGACTCAGAAATGCGGGTCGTTTCACATAGAACTATATTGAAATGATCTTTTCGTTCATTTAAGTTTTAAAAGTTACAAAAAGATAATTGAACTTATCGAATTATTATAAAATGACCATTAAAATTTATCAAACTAGCACAGCATGGTTATCAAAACTCATTAAACTGTTACAAAATGGTCCTTAAATTTATCAAATAACATGCAATGAAAATTTTGTAACAATTAGATAAGTTTAGTGATTATTTTATAACTTTTAAAATTTCAATGGCTGAAAAGATTATTTTAACATAGTTTAATGATCATTTGTGTGCTTAACCCGTAGAATTATGACAGGTGATCTTATTATAAATTTAAGAATTAAAAATAAAATAATAAGACACTTGTCACCATTTTAATTATGCTTGTAAAAATAAATCACCACTAATATACCTGATAATAATCTACCTTAGAAGGACAATTAATTGGTGGACTGAAAAAGAAAAGGTTTTCCGCAAACACTAGTAGAAAAATGTACATGTCTGATGAGTGAGCGGATTCACCCTTATATAAGGATGTACACCTGAAATATGAATTTTTTTTATTAGTCATTTATTTTATTAATTGTGTCTACCTTAAAATTTTATTTGTGCTCATCTCATACAAAAATTTTGTGTTATTAATACATGTGTGTGGTGTGCCCATCATAAAATATATTTCTGGATCTGTCTGATAGAGTTGAACAAATAATTGAATTGACAAGTTACATACATTTCACGTGGTCCTTTTAATCTCAAGTCTAAAAAGGGAACCTCAACTTGCCTATAAATTTGAGCTCCTGGAAATGATTTCAACACAAAACAATCTGATTCATAGGAAAACTAGAAATGGAGAGATCGGTAATGAGCTTAAGTGTTTTGGTGTTAGCTTGTCTGGTGGGTTCTGGCGCAGCACAAAGTCGTCAAAAAGTGTCTGCTCATTGGATCGAATTCTTAGCGAAGGAGATGGACTGGGACATGAATAAAGCTCACGATGTTGCGTGCAAGAAATATGATGCCGATAAGCCCTACGAATGGCGCAGCAAATATTATTGGACCAACATCGGTGATCTTGGTGATCTTGAACAGAGTTGTGGCAAGTGCATTCATGTAAGTAACTTTTTCATCATCTTAGTTTATCTGGTTTCAAATATTTTACCGGATAATTGAAAAACAAAAGAAAAGGGAAGCACATATTCATCATGTTTTCATTTCCGATGCAGGTGACAAACACGGCGAACGGCAATGAAATAACAGTGAGAATCGTTGGTACAACCGGACAAGGCCTAGAGTTGGATAAGCCAGCGTTTGATCAGCTTGACAGCGATGGGCAAAGCCATGGAGGAAACCTTGTTGTGAACTATAAGTTTGTGGATTGTGATCCTACCCCAGCAGGTCCTGGCGAGTCTAATGTCAAAGCTGATTTTTCTAACTACAACCCTGAAGAGAATAAATGGGCCTATCCTTCACATGCCGAGTGCGCCGCCAAGGACGGCGATAAACCCTTGGAGTGGCGCAAAAGATATGGGTGGACGGCTTACTGTGGGAAGTACTATAAAGCTTCCAACCCGGAAGAAAACTGTGGAAAGTGCTTAAAGGTATCGAATATATATATATTCTTAGACTTCAAATAATTCCTATGCCTATATATAGTTTAATCTAATCTTGGCTCTCGAATGAAGGTAACCAACACAGACACGAAAGATTCGGTAACAGTGAGAATCATGGACACATGCGCAGAGAAACGCAAGCCTTGGTGTTGAACTACGAAACAGCTTTTAAACCTATCGACACTAATGGGGAAGGGAGAAAAGAAGGTCATCTTACTGTGGACTATGAATTTGTGAAGTGTGATGGAGATGTGGATTCCCCACTTCTCATCTATTCACAGTAACTTTATAGACTTGAGAATTCCCACTTCATTTCACTTGAACGATGTACAACGTATCTATGTGAAAAACCTTTGTGTAATAAGCATGTTACCGCGGAATCATGAATTCCTCTTGTTCATTATAACATGAGATTAATAAGAAGTGGGATTGTGTTTGTGCCAACATGAATTCCTCTTGCACATTGTACCTTAAGAACATGACTATACCTCCAAAATGCAATATTGATTCTTATAAAGAATATGATATGATCCTCTAAACGTACGAGGAAATTATTTTTGACCATAAAATCAAGCACTCTTGAATCGTTCTTAGGCACCAAAAAGTGCATATCAGAAAAATATGAAGAATCTAAGTTGATATCGATATTGTTCATCTAATGTTGATAACGTTTTTGAGTTGGTATCGATACCTAATTTATTTTTTAAACTTCTAACCCAATTATAATATCAATACCAGAATGTGGTGTTTAATACTAGTTTAGGGTTTAAGGTACTTTTTAATACACAAGTATCGATACTGGACATTTTCTATCGATACCACCAGGATAGTATCAATATCATATGTTAGTACTGATATCAAAAATTACCTTGAAGTTTCATTTTAAGTCTATAGTATCAGTACACTCTATTCTAGTATTGATACCATATGCACCGAATAGTCAAAATTACATTTCAAACATACTTTAGCGTGCACTAAACTTAGCCTACGTTATATGCAACTCATATATCATGTAATAACATACAAATATGCAACGTAAAATCCATTTCAACCATGTTTCAACAAACGAGTACCTTGTAAGCTTAAATAGGTACCAAATACATAACATACGTTTCTCCTTGCCATTTGATCCTTCTTGTAGCACATACATACTCTAAACATAACTTTAACATGTTTATACAAAACATATGGCATGACATCTGTTGGGAAATAAAACGAGTAATTTCCCTATACCCAGATTAGTGAGAATTCAAAATAAAAGCGGAAAAATAATACCCGAAAATGATAACGGAGTTCAGCCAATTATGCCTACGTCTCCGGACTGCTGCAGATCTTTTACTAAAGAGATAAAATTTACAGGTGTTTACAAAACACTCACAACTCACAAGAAAGCTCTCTAAACTCTTTAGTATTGGGAGAAAGAAATGATTTGGGATATTTTGAAGCTAAATGGGTTAGGGTATTTATAGTTGAAGCTTAAGGACTAATCTTGTAAATACACTAAAGTGCAGGGACTAAAATACAATTCCCCCATTACAATTTTTAACAAAAATTAAATGCACCGAATTCGATGCCCAATCCACCGAATTCGGTGCCCCCCTTAATTGACTTTGTTTTCCTCCTTAATTGACTTTCAATAATCTCCCACTTGAAGACTGATTTTATCTGTCTTCACACTTCGATCGATGCAACAACATTTCTGGTCTTGTTACTCTAGCATGCCAACTGAAGCTGAACACAACTTCAGTTTGTCCGTAGTCACTGTCTTTGTTAACATGTCTGCCGGATTTTGAGCTCCACTAATCTTTTCAAGTTTCAAAATCCCATCTTCCAGAAGAGACCGGATAAAATGATATCGCAATTATATGTGCTTCATCCTGGAATTAAAAGACGGATTCTTCGCTAGATGGATGCCACTTTGACTATCGCAATACAAGACATTATTTTCTTGTTTTTTGCCTAACTCTTCCAAGAAACTTTGGAGCCAAACCATCTCCTTGATGGCTTCCGTAATAGCGACATATTCTGCTTCAGTTGTGGAGAGAGCAACTATCTTCTATAGTTGAGAAACCCAACTCACTGCAGTACCTCCTAGAGTATAGACATACACTGTAGTGCTTCTTCTGATGTTAACATTTCCGGCTAAGTCAGCATCTACATAGCCTATCAGTATCGTATCTTCACCTTTGAAACAAAGTGATTTGTTTGTAGTACCCCGTAGATATCTGAGGATCCATTTGACTGCTTCCCAGTGTACCTTGCCCGAATTATTCATGTACCTGCTAACAGCTCCCACTACATGAGAAATATCTGGTCTAGTATAAACCATGGCATACATCAGACTTCCAATTGCTGAGGCATACGGCACCTTCACTATGTGTGCATGTTCCTCTTCCGTCTTTGGTGATTGTTCTTTGGAGAGTCTAAAATGAACACCTAAAGGTGTACTTACTGGTTTAACATCTTGCATGTTAAACCTGGAGAGTACTTTGTGGATGTACTCAGCCTGTGATAATATCAGAGTCCCTGACTTTGTGTCTCTCTTAATCCTCATCCCAAGAATTTACTTTGCAACGCCCAGATCTTTCATTGCAAACTGCTTCGACAATTTTTGCTTCAAGTTTATAATATCTTGCATGTCTGAGCCTGCAACGAGCATGTGATCAACGTACAACAATAAAATAATGAAGCTGTTGTCGAACTTCTTGATGTAGCAACAATGATATGCTTGGCATCTGGTAAAACCATTGCTACCCATGAAACTATCGAACTTCTTGTACCACTGTCTAAGAGCTTGTTTTAAACCATACAAGCTCTTCTTCAACCTACATACCAGGTTTTTCTTGTATGCCTCTATAAAGCCTTCTGGCTGCCTCATATAGATTCTTCCTCCAAATCACTATGAAGGAAAACTGTCTTTACATCTAACTGCTCAAGATGTAGATTTTTTGCAGCTACAATTTTCAACACCAGTCTGATTGTAGACAGCTTCACGACTGGAGAGAAAATTTCATTGTAGTCAATACCTTCTTTTTGCTGAAAACCTTTGACAACAAATCTTGCTTTGTAGCGTTTGCTCCCATCGTGCTCTTCTTTGATCTTGTAAATCCACTTGTTATGGAGCGCTTTCTTGCCTGGTGGTAATTCAGTTAATTCCCACGTCTGATTTGACATAAGCGAGTCCATCTCATCTTTCATAGAAGACTCCCACTTGACTGAATCCTCCACCTGCATTGCTTCATCATAGCACTCTGGTTCCCCGTTGTCAGTAAGCAACAAGTAGTGCAAAGAAGGAGAATAACGCTGGGTTGGTTTAGGAATTCAGGAGGAGCGTCTCAGTTCTAGTGTGCCTGGTTCTTCTTGAACTGCTTCAAGACTGATTTGAACATCATTTCCAGAAATCTCCTCGAACTCAACAAATTCCTTTTTTTCAGCTTCGGTATTGGAGCTACTTGATTCTATGGTTGACCTGTCTTTGTACATCACATTCTCATTGAAAATGACGTCTCTGCTTCTGATGATCTTTCGATTTCCATAGTCCCAAAACCGGTAACCAAAACTCATCATCCATAACCAACAAAGACACATTTGTTGGACTTAGCATCAAGTTTACTTCTTTCAGCAGAATTTATGTGTACATAAGAAATATAACCAAACACTCTTAAGTGTGAAAGGTTTATTTCTTTTCTGCTTCAAACTTCCTCTGGTATTCCACCATCCAAAGGAACTGAGGGCCCACGGTTGATCAGGTAAGTTGCAGTGTTGATAGCTTCAGCCCATAGCAATTTAGGCAAGCCGACATGTATCCTCATGCTTCTGGCACGTTCATTCAGAGTTTTGTTCATGCGCTCTGCTACGCCATTCTGCTGTGGTGTCATGGGAACTTTTGTCTCCATCTTGATCCCATTATTTACGCAAAAGTCTCTGAATCTACTATTTCTGTACTCTCCTCCATTATCAAACCTCAACCGCTTGACTTTCAAACCAGTCTCATTTTCCACCATGGCCTTCCATTTTCTGAAGGTATCAAAGACTTCTGATTTCTTCTTCAGAAAATAAACCCACACCTTCCTTGTAGAATCATTGATGAAGGTGACATAATAAAGTGAGCCTGCAAGAGATGGAACTGGAGATGGTCCCCATACATCAGTATGAACCAACTCTAACTTTTCTGCCTTGGGTGTCTTGTCAATCTTTGCAAAACTAACATTCTTTGGTTTGCCAAATATGCAATCTCACATAGTCTGACATCTATACTCTTTAGATCTGGCATCTTCCCTTTTGACAAAAGTGTCTTCATCCATTTCTTGCTCATATGGCCAAGTCTTTGGTGTCATATGTTTGATTTTCCATCAGCATCTACTACTGCAATGATATTCTCTAAATTTGAGGTTACATAGAGCGTACCAGTCTTCTTACCACGAGCAATGACGAGTGCTCCTTTGGTAATCTTCCATTCACAGCCTGAAAAGGTTGTACTATATCATTCTCCATCAACCTGTCCTACAGAAATCAAATTTCTTTTGAGGTCAGGAATATGTCTCACTCTTTTCAGCTTCAAGGTGGTCTGGTTTGGAAACTTTAATCGGATGTCTCCTTTTCCGACGATCTTCAAGGTTTCATTATCAGCTAGATGAACATTCCCAAAAGCACCACTGACATAGTTCTCCATGATTTCTTGGCATGGGGTTGAGTGGAAATATGCCCCTGAATCCAAGATCCATGATTCAATCAGACTGTTGACACTTAGAATCATGTCATCACCTATCTCCTCTGTCATGTTGGCAGATTCATGTGCGCCAATATCTTTCTTTGGTGCTCGACAATCTCTTTTAAAGTAACCCTTCTTGCCACAATTATAACAGTTAAAATCTTTCTTTCTCGTTCTTGATTTTCCCCTTCTGGATTTCGATCTGCCACGATTTGAATTTCTTTCTGAAGTTCTCCCTCTAGACTCTGTGTGCAAGGCTGAGGAGCTTGATGCTTCACCCGATTCTCTCCGTCGAATTTCTTCACTCAATACCAGATCCCGAAGTCGAATTTCAATTTACTGTTTCCCGACGAGCTACTGACTGCTGTAACAGTAACATTCCAACTGTCTGGTATAGATGATAAGAGAATTAAAGCTCGAACTTCATCATCAAATTCAATTTCAACGGAACTAAACTGGGTTGTGATTGTGTTGAGTTCATTTAGGTGTTGAGCCACTGATGCCCCTTCTGCCATCCGCAAATTGAATAATTACCTCATCAAGTGAACTTTGTTTGAGGTCGATGGCTTCTCATACATACTGCAGAGAGCCGCCATAAGACCCGCCGTGGTCTTTTCCTTTGCTATGTTGAAAGCAACATTGCGAGATAACGTCAGTCGGATAACTCCGAGGGCGTGTCTGTCGAGAAGAGCCCAGTCTTCATTCTTCATG